TAAAAATGTTGTTCAATTAGCATGTTTTTGTGTTTTGCTTTGGTACCGAAATTGGTACCGAGAACCGTGGATTTTCACTGGTATCAGTACCGAATACTGAAATTTTGTTACCGTGACAACACTACGTGCACTAAGTGATTTTTGAAAAGCACGTTTGACCGCAGTGTCTGACTGAGTCCCAAAACACACTTGTAGCCAATCAGCAGTAAGGGGGCGTGTGCAGATAAAAAAAAAAAAGGAAAATATCAGAGAAACAAAACATTAAAAAGAAGGGTTACGATCAGGCAAGAGGTAGGACCAGCGTAAATATCGGAGCAGCTTTTGTTTGAATATGCTTGTGTGTCATCTTCACTTGTTTCCGCGATCGTCGTTGCCATGGTTGCGTACGTACATGTGGGGCGGAGATTTCAAAATAGGGGCGAGGTCCTGTTGGGGTGTGGGCGTGTTTGTTTTGGTGCTTTCAAATATCAACATCGTTTGGCAAAAATCACCTAGTGCACCTTTAATTATTGCCGCCACTGCTTCAGGATCGGGTCGGGGCAGACGCAGGCTGACGCACAATAATTATCTACCGGTCACCATTACTTTGTACCCATGTTCTCACTACACGCTGTGTTCTGTTGTCAATAAACACACATGACGATGGTGCTGCCACCGACGTTTACGTTCTCTGTGTGTGTATGTGTTACAACTCCTGACTCCGGGGTCCTATAAGGAGCTGGTAGCTGCCTCAATTGTGCCTGTAGCGGTAACCATAGTGATCGTATACTATCGTCTATGACAGAGCTGGTGATTTTTCTGGACTGAAAAAATTGGACTGCTGCTGACAGCTTAAAAAATCCCATCTGCGCCCCTGAAAACAATAGCATAACAAAGCCAAAACCTGGCAATTTAGAAATCCTGGTCAGGACATGTCCAGGAAAAAGAGGTATGGTCACCCTATCTTAGCTGAATTAAAAGAACGCAAACTTTAAATCTGCAGGATTGCAGCATTGCAGTAAAGTGATGTAGATTACATATTTTTTGGATGTATTACATGTTGAATTATGTTTTGAAAAAAGACGCTGCAGAGCGTGACATCATATATTATGATCGCTGCTGTGTCTGTAGATATTTTGCATGCTCAAAGTCTAGAGTCTTGCTTTACATTGAATAACAGTCAATGTTAATGGTTACTTTTCTGAATGAGACAGCATCAATGACATATGCGGCTGACAAATGTGACCTCCCCCGACGTTTACGTTCTCTGTGTGTGTATGTGTTACAACTCCTGACTCCGGGGTCCTATAAGGAGCTGGTAGCTGCCTCAATTGTGCCTGTAGCGGTAACCATAGTGATCGTATACTATCGTCTATGACAGAGCTGGTGATTTTTCTGGACTGAAAAAATTGGACTGCTGCTGACAGCTTAAAAAATCCCATCTGCGCCCCTGAAAACAATAGCATAACAAAGCCAAAACCTGGCAATTTAGAAATCCTGGTCAGGACATGTCCAGGAAAAAGAGGTATGGTCACCCTATCTTAGCTGAATTAAAAGAACGCAAACTTTAAATCTGCAGGATTGCAGCATTGCAGTAAAGTGATGTAGATTACATATTTTTTGGATGTATTACATGTTGAATTATGTTTTGAAAAAAGACGCTGCAGAGCGTGACATCATATATTATGATCGCTGCTGTGTCTGTAGATATTTTGCATGCTCAAAGTCTAGAGTCTTGCTTTACATTGAATAACAGTCAATGTTAATGGTTACTTTTCTGAATGAGACAGCATCAATGACATATGCGGCTGACAAATGTGACCTCCCGAGGGTGCAACTTTAGAAATGAGAAAGCCATAGGGTGCTTCTCAAATGGAAGGATGCGCCCTAGTGAGGATCATACTTCCTAGATGAGTCAAGGCTAGAGTCCTTCTTAGCATTGAACGCTAGAATGAGATGCTCTAGTAAATACACATGGCTACGTCATAAATGTGTCTGCCCCCACTGTTATGGCACAAAAATAATAGAATTATAATTTGAAGAATACTTTATATTGGGAAAAGGGCTGGTAAGCGATTACAATTTTGAATCTAATTAATTACATGATGTGGTGATTAATTAATCTAATCTAATTAATCGCAAATTAATCGCACATCAAATTTGGCTGAGAAATCACTCCCAAAAGATCATTTAAAGTCATTGTTGTGTAAAGCATCAAACTGACATTTCAAAAAGTAGCTTCAGGAAGAAATATATTGATAAAATGTATTACATATACTCTTTTGGACTATGAGGGTGAGTAAATGATGACACAATTGTCATTTTTCGGCAGGTGAACTATACCTTTAATAATTTATTTTATAAATTGTATTATTATTATTATTATTATGGAAATATGAAATTTCTTTAATGAATGATATTCTAAATAATAAACTAAAACTGCCAGTAGGTGGTGGTAAATGTCTTAATGATTAAGTCATCGAGTCATTTATTCATTCATTTGATTTTTCAAATGCTGATTCATTCAGGAGTGAAGTAAATGGTTCTTTATGAATGGTCCATTGAATCAATAGACTTGTTCGACTTGAAGCGGATCATCACCATCAGATCGATCAGTGTGTGACATCAAAGTACCGCAAGAGCTATAGAGAGCAGACGACTCTGCATTTTGAATCGCTCTCGTGGTACTTTGATGCCATACACCGATCGCTCTGTGTAGCGTCGCTTCAAATCCAACACGCCTATGGCCAATGGTTCAACGCGCCTAATGGTTCACCCAATTCGTTCAAAACGTGCATTAAGAAATTAAATGCCACTGTGTGTTGCTCGGAGACGAACAGTTCTGCTTTGTATCTCTACCTGCGTCACTGAACTTGCGCCACAAACACAACAGAACCGCTAGATTTAAATCAGCACAGCCAGCGAAGAATCGAACGCCCCTTTTTTAACAACCAAAAAGTGTCTGTTTCGTTGTCTGTTGAGGAAGTACAGACGTTCCTCCGTTGATAGCATAGGAGCGGATCCAGCGAGAGCTTGATGGGGCGACGCGGAATGAACCAGTTTTTCAGGAGTCGCGGCAACTTTAACAACATGTGAATAATCCCACCCATTCTAAAGCGATACTAAACTGCAGTGGAAACGCAAACCGAGCCGTGCTGTGCTGAGCCGAGCCGAGTCGTACCACGCAGTGGAAAAGCGCCAAAAGTGAGTTGTTGCCCTTCCTCGTATTTGTCATCAATCAACTGTATGAAATGTCAGATGACCCATATAGGTCTGGGGCAGGGCAAGTGCGTTAAATGCGTTAATAATTTTAACACATTATTTTTCACCGTAATTAATTAATCTAATTAACGCGTTAAATTACCAGCCCTAATTGGGAATTTTTATGTTAACTGACTTTGTTAACTGAAGCACAACAGTGCCCCACTGGTCAAATCATGTTATTGCAGGTCCTTACGTTACACCATATGACTATTCAAGAACAAAACTATTTGCTTATAATGTTGACTAATAGTTTCGGTGGTGCTTGTCACCTGACAGATCTCCAGTAATGGCCGAAATGCCAAAGTAGAAGCCCTGCGGCAGATGCACGCCAGGAACATCCAGACAGTCTCTCCACTCGTGCTGCCCGTCGATGTCAAGCATGATCTGCACCAAACACACACGTCAGTGTGACATCAGGAAGGACAGTCTGCATCTATGGCAGGTGTCCCTCACCGTGAGTCTGCGCCGGACATATCTGATGAACAGGAAGGTGTCGTGCTTCAGGTTGCGCACCATGGCGTTACAGCCGCCCAGTTCTGTGGGCCGCCCATCCCGCTCGTGATCGTAGCTGATGGTGCCATTGCCCACCATGGCCAACACGTACGGGAATATCCTCTGATGACAAGCAGAAGAGACGACAGCAGAATGAACTCAGCATGTGATCCACTACTAGTCAACACAGACCCACTAATGATAGTCAGTGAATTAGTGAGCGGTTGTTACCTGTGTGCGGGGCGTGTATCTCTTCCTCTGGGCCTAAAAACAGACACATACAATCACATGAAAAACACAAACGGAACAGGCACATATGAAAACATGCGTGTGTCAGCAACAGTTCTGAATTACAGATTTACACTGGTTAAACTGTCCTGGTTGGATTGACTAGGGAAGTGTTCACCGTAATCAGACACATAAACCTCTTTTGATCAGAATACAGTGTACAGGAATGAGGGAAACATTATGAGTGGAGATGTAAACGTCAACATGTTCTCTTGAATCAGGTTTGAAATGCAAACTAAAAATACAAACACGCTGTGTGTGATTCATCAGATCTCATCGTGAACCACGTCTGAAGATACTGTGCTGCTATAAACGATCTCTTCATGTAAGAGACGAACTGAATGATGGTCAGATCTCTGTGTGGACCGTATCAGACACCTTCATACACAAATATCACCGCATTATTACAATTAATAACTCAATGAATCTTTGGATATGTAAACTGATATTTCCTTCTGGAACACAACAGCAAACAGTATAAATCACTGTCTAACAACAGATGTGTTTGTGAAGCAAAAACTGTGCAAAAGGCTTTTTCTAAGTCCTGTACACAGATACATACTGTAATGTCATTGATCGTGCTGGCAGTGTTTGATTTCTGTACCTCCAGGAGTTTCTCCTCGTTGGGGTAGGTGTCCACAAACATGCCAAGTCCTGTGAAGAAATCCCTGTTTCCAAACACCGGACCTGCAGACAGGTGAGGGATAATCTCCAGTCATTAGCAAACAAACCATGACTGGAGATCAGTCTCGACTCAATGAAATGAGCATCTGCAGCTCTGACCTTTCTGCATGCGCTCTTTGGTGTACCAGATGGCCAGACCGTCACCGTTCAGATTCTTCTTCCCCTGACCGTGAATCTTAAAATGAACCTGTAGTTCCCAGTCCCTCAGATGACACGGCTACACACACACGCACACAACCATACAAATACACACACAGTGTCTAGTCATGAACCAATGAACCATTTCCTCTGGTTTTAGGACTAGTTAATGGTTAGGGGTTGGTTAGAGTTATGATTATATTTGTTTAAAAAGAAAGTCACTACGAAGACACTAATTCTTCTTGGCTGAATGGTGTGAATGGCAGCTGTAGTAAGCACACTAGTAAGTGACGATGACTTACTAGTCGGCTCCATATGGCTCCCTGTTTGCTCTGCTGGTCTGGAGTGAGACGCACGTGATCGGTGGTGACCAGAGCGTCTCCCATCAGCTCCCAGTGAGATGAACCCAACACACCGATACCTGCAACAAACACACATCATAAAATACACAACACACACATTTTAGGTTTTCGTGTTTTATGGGTTAATTCCATAGGTGTAATGGTTTTCCTACTGTACAAACTGTATATTCTATCCCCTTACTCTAACCCTAGCCCAAAACCATTTTAAAAATCTTCATTCTTTGTGGTTTATAACCTGTTTTCCTAATGGGGACCAAAAAAAAATGTCCCCACAAGGTAGAAATTTACTGATATTACTATCCTTGTGGGTACATTTGGTCCCCATAACGTAGGGAAAACTAGGAACATACACTCTCTGCTCTCTCTCTCTCACACACACACACACACACACACACACACACATTTACTGATATTACTATCCTTGTGGGTACATTTGGTCCCCATAACGTAGGGAAAACCAGGAACATACACTCTCTGCTCTCTCTCTCTCACACACACACACACACACACACACACACACACACGACTAGCCCCGCACGCACAATCTAATGCAGCAGCCACAAAGACATGACATTAAACACGCAAACAGCTTTCATTCCTGTGTCAGACTGATAATGTATATCATATACGTATAATTATTATGATGATAAGAGGTAAATGAGAGAGTCGCGAGAATGATGAATTTATAATGCATTTGTGTCTCTTACCCTGGTAAGGCTTGGACAGTGAATACTCTCTCTTTAAAAACTCTTCCATTTCATGACCGTCATCACATAAACTAACACTGAACGCTGCAAATAAAATCAACGATGATCTAGAAATCATGATTTAACAGTTAATTCAAAGCTTTTTAAACGCGTCCACTGAACTCACGCTAGCCTAGCGGCCATCGAGTCCCACTATCGGTCAATGCTACCACCCGATTGGCTGCTGCTGTTACACGGCGCGCATCTACTGGCTCTCTCACCTGTCAATCAAACATCAGCCCTCCCACACATCAGCAAACGGGACCGAATATTAATGATCACAAAAGATTTGCGATTTGCTAAAACAGCAACGTAACGTTTAAAGTAAGTAGTTACTCTCCACATTTATTAACCTTTATAGACCGCGGAATTTGCCCTTTTTTAATTAATTGTATATAATTGTTTTACTTTATGTGCATGCCTCATACTTTAGAAAATGTGAATGAATGCGCAAACCAAATCTACAATACAGTAATTCACTACTAATGTATTATTATTATTATTATTATTATTGGTATTATTATTGACTAAATGACTAAATTATTATTAGAGTCGCCTTACTTCCGGAGTATATTACGTAGGAACTGATTTAGGGACTATCGTAAAACGACACTGATAATACTCACGACTCACGAGGAAACGGACACCAGCGCCAAACATAAGGTCATAGTGTCAGTTATCTTAAAGGGATAGTTCACCCAAAAATGAAAATTCTGTCATTAATAAGGTTCAGAAAGCTCTCGGATTTCATCAAAAAATATCTTAATTTGTGTTCCGAAGATGGGCAAAGGTCTTACGGATTAGGAGGTGAATTATCCCTTTAACAAAACAGTGAAGGAAAATGGTTGCTTTATCAAACTTCACACCCCTTGTCCAAATACCCACACGTTCGGTCTTGGCCACTTGAGAGCGCGTGCGCGCGACACGAAGTAAGTGCGCAAGACTGTCCCAGTTCTTAAAAATGGCAAAGCGCAGTGCCCTTAACGCACACTAAACCCACACTATCTTGATTACCGCTCCAGAGCGCTATTCGAGGCTTAGTGTATCCCATCATGCATCATGTTCTGGAAATAAATCGTGAGACTTTTTGCCGAGATCTCACAAGAGGTCACGGAAACCTTTCCAATGCAAGTTAAATATTAATATAATAATTCGATATTACATATAATTTGGTAGAAAAACAGTGTTTTTACGTTTTATTGGTGCAAAGATGAGTAGTGGTGCTATTTATTTTGTACAACATTTGCAACTGCTTTTTATCACTTAATTAGAAGCACCACAAATTAAAATTATATCATGTTATAGGGACTACTGAACAGACATTTAGAAGTTGATTTTAAAATGCAAAGTATTTAAAATTAAAATTAAAATAAAGCTATGTAAACACTTGCATTTTTACAACACTATAAGTTTGTCCCATCAGGTAATGAAAAGTTCGACACACACTTGTGGTCTTCATCCTCACTTGAACACTTGGGCCAAATACAGGAAATACGTCATAGAAGTGTTCAAGTGGTCAAGTGCAAAGACCGCAAGTGTGGGTATTTGGACAAGGCAACACTTTAAAATACACAACTTTATGTCAAGTCAATGAAATGGACATATTATCAAGTGACTGGTGATTGTTTTTTGATGATTCTAGAATGTGGAGATTTTACACTCATCAATCTGGATTTAAGCCCCCATTAACAGAAATAGTAAATGAACTTTTGAGTGCCGATCACTACTGAGGTTTTAAATGAAGCACAAACATCAGATGAGGTCAAATCAGAATCCTGTGATGTGAAGTATGTAAGAGAGTGTGATTTGTAGACGGTCCCTTAGCTCAGCTACAGTATGGCGCGTCTGACTGTGTGTGAACATCAGAGCTCAACATACAACATCTGATCTGATCTCAGATCTGCATCAGATATCAAACACAAACACACACACACACACACACACACGGGTCAGGATGGAGCACACGCCCGAGAAACACAGCAAAGAAGTGGATATTTATCGGGACACATGGGTGAGATTTCTAGGTGAGTCAAAGACACGCATATGACCTCCAGGACTTGGTTACCTTTGTGTGTGTGTACAGGGTTTTCTATACTGGTGGGGACTTGAACCTGAATACGCACCAACTCATGGAGACTAAATTGAGGTCCCCATGGGTACAGAAGCTTATAAATCATACAGAATGTGTTTTTTTTTTTTTGAGATTGTAAAAATGCACAAAGTTTTCTGTGAGGGGTAGGTTTAGGTATAGTGCGATAGAAAATACAGTTTGTACAGTATAAAAACCATTATGCCTATGGAGAGTCCCCACAAGGATAGTCAACCAGACGTGTGTGTGTGTCTGATCGATCTGGTCTTCCATGTTTTTGATTTAAGCTCTTCAGTGTTTCAGAGTGAGAAGTTGAGAGCCATGAATATCACTGTCACACTGATCCTGCTGTTTCAGTCAGTATTGTGTACTAGCCTTATTACAGCTTATTCATGGTCTAATACAGGAATTAAACTTAAATGTTGATGTTGTCTAGGCTTTATGTGTCCTGCATCAGGGTGAGATTCACACACACATGCGCTCTCTCTCTCTCTCTCTCACAGACACACACACACACACACACACACACACACACACACACACACACACACACACACACACACACACA